GTCTTTTTTTAAATACAACTATCTTGTTGCGTTTCTTGTCTTTTTTTCTTTGTGTATGGATTTTGCTTCAAGTATAATTCTTTTTATGCTGTATGTATATTTACTTATATTGCCTTTTTTAATGAAAATTTCTGTATTTTTATATCATCATTAACTCTTATTGGCTTCAGAATAATCCACTGGGTGACATGCCATAATTTAATCACTTACCTGTTAGATGTGTTTTTTTCTTAACTTTATAGCTATTATAAAGAATATCTTGATGACTCTCTCTCTGCTTTAAGATTTTTCTTTAGATTATTAGCTAGATTTCCAGATTTACTACTACTGCTACACTGCAGCATAGTTTTGAATACTTAACATATGAATGCATTTAACACTCCCAGGAGCCCAGTGTGCTAGATGTCACTATATTTCCCATTTTCTAATGTGAATGGAGACACTGAGAGATTAAGCATTTTTTGCACAGTTGGATTGGTTGTGGAGTGTGATCTGCAGGTAGTCTCAGTCCAGAGCTGGACCACTTCTCTCTGGGTCTGCTGTATTGCCCATGACACTATGTTCAGATAGTAAGAATGCTTTTAAGGCTGTTTACACCTCTTACAGCTCTGCTTCCTCAAAGGATTGCACGAGTTCACACTGCTAGAGCAGTGTGTGGGATCCATATGACTGCGTTGGATCCTGGTTAGATAGTATTGCATTGTTAGATCACCTTTCACATGCTTTCTACCCTCTTAAGTTTGGAGTATTTCGTAGTTCTTCTTATTTATTTATTTTTTTTTTAAGATTTTATTTATTTGACAGAGACACAGCGAGAGAGGGAACACAAGCAGGGGGAGTGGGAGAGGGAGAAGCAGGCCTCCTGCCTAGCAGGGAGCCCAGTGTGGGGCTCAATCCCAGGACCCTGGGACCACAACCCGAGCCGAAGGCAGACACTTAACGACTGAGCCACCCAGGCGCCCCTCCTTATTATATTCTTTAATGTCATTATTAGTCTTTGTTTTCTACCATCTTTAGGCTTTGGGGCCTTCCAAATGAATTATAGAGAATAAAGGGGGGCAATAAAATTAGTATGTGAAGACTAACACATTATCATAGGGGACTTGAATTGTATTTTGGATTTGGTAACCCTAACATTTACAAGATGAGTTCTAGAGTTGTGATTTAGACCATTCTCTATCAGTTAGCCTCATCTAGATTAGCATATTAGAGTCATCTGGGGAACTTTTAAAGATTTTGATGCTCATGCTTCACTGCCAGAGATTTGGATTGAATGGATCAGAATAGGAGCTTGAGCATAAGGATATGCTTAAAAGTTACCTAGGTGGTCCTGATGAACAGTTGAACATATATATGTTCTTTTATATGCTATACAGAGGGATATGGAGAAGTAAAGTATTTATGTAGCTCTTATTACTTATGTAGGGATCAAAATGTAGATAAGTGGGATAATTTGTGCAGTAGATCAAAACATTCTCTGAACCCAGCTTCAGAAGGCTGTTCTGGTTGATTTAAACATGTATATTTCTTTTCATTGTTAAACAATTGCATTGGCCCAATCTATTTTACACCTCCTTACCTCTTAAATTTAAGCTTGTGCACTCTATATTACTTTACAGATTATTTAAGATAGAGGAGGTGTTAGGCCTTACTAATCCTAAAGTCTTTTCTATGAAAATGTTCTTTGTTTACTATCCCTGAAATATTTATATACATTTTGGATATTATCTTAAATTTTTTGACTTTGTGAAAAATTGTTAAAATAATATATATGCTTTGCACTTTCATTTTTAAAATGACAGTACTGATATTATTTCCGCATTCTTTGTTTTATATATTTTTCTCCGTTTCATTTATTATTTTTTTAAAGATTTTATTTTTAAGTATATTTTTTGCCATTTTAGCTTCCCACTAGCATATGAATTTGTGCTTCCCACTAAATGAGGGAGTTTATTTGGGAATGCTAAGCATGCATTGTGAAGAATACCCAAGTACATATGCTAATAGAATAGATTGTATAAACTTCATTTACTGTTGAAAATTTAGGATTTTTGTTTTTTTGTTGTTGCATCAATAGCCTGATAACGTGCAGTAGTTCCATTTTGTAATTTTTTTTAACAAATGCTAACAACTGAGGGATTTCATAATTTTCAGATGGACCATCAACAGATAAAGACCCTGAAGAAAAGAAAAAAGATACTGCAATTACATCACAGAATAGCCCTGAAGCAAGAGAAGAAAGGTATGTCACTTTATGGAAATTCACTTCTGTTGGAAGTCATAGTTGTATTTGACTGTCACTTACCTCCTCCATGGTCTTATTTATGGTCTTCTATCTGTACTCCTTTTTCTATTTTCTAACCAGACAGAATTAGTAAATGTATATAGCCAAATAGAATATTCTAAGGTTTCCTACAGGATATTCATGGAAATTTAAAAGAGACCTAGAAGACACTACATAAATAAGGAGAAATTACTTACACTGTATTCAACAAGCTTAATTGAATGGAATCCTTGGGATAGCACTAATAGAATTGATAATGAAGGTACTGATTAAGGATTCAAGTGGTAACCACTTATTTACCACAATTCTTTTTTAGGTTTTTTTTTTTTTGGCCCTGGATCTGTTTCTCTTTTTATGCGAATTTTTTCCTTCTCAATTTAGCTATCTTTCATAAGAACTTAAAATGTGAAGTTCAGTAATGAAGGGTTCAAATTGTTCCTCAGCTTTCGTGAGGCCTTTGCTTTTATTCTTTCCTGTCACACATAATGAGTGAACTATGTAATATCCAGCATGTTGATGTGGTAGGTGACATGCCTAGTAGGTTAAATACAATTCCTCTGTTCTTGGGAAGCTTGTATTTTAACACTTGACTCTGATGTAGAGCAATAGTTCTCAAAGTGTGGTCCCTATAAGAGCAGAGAACCTGGCAACTTGTTAGCAAAGCAAATTCTTGGGCTCCACCCTTGAACAACTGAATCAGGAATTATGGTGGGGCCCAGAAATAGGTTTTAACAAGCTTTTTAAGTGATTCTGATGTGATAATGATGTGATAATGCACTCAAGTTTTAGGCTACCTATTTTAACTTCATTTATTTCTTAGTATTTTCCCAAAAGTGATAATGTGCCCCTCATTGGTACAGTAACAATAATTAATATCCCATACACTATTGTCTTATGCATTAGAACTAACTAAACTTGATGATAAAAGAGGTAAGCTAAAGAAAGGGTAAACATCAGTTGTTAATAAATGTGTTCAGTGTTTTCTAACTCTTTTGAGATAGTTTTAGACTTTTAGAAAATTGTAAGAACAGGGTGCCTGGGTGGCTCAGTTGGTTAAACAACTGCCTTCAGCTCAGGTCATGATCCTGGAGTCCCAGGATCGAGTCCCACATCGGGCTTCCTGCTCAGCAGGGAGTCTGCTTCTCCCTCTGACCCTCTTCCCTCGTGCTTTCTATCTCTCATTCTCTCTCTCTCTCTCAAATAAATAAATAAAATCTTTAAAAAAAAAAAAGAAAATTGTAAGAACAGAACAGAGAACTCCCAGTTGCCGCTTTGTGTGTATATGCATACATATATGTGTGTTTACGTACTCAGACACATGAATAATTTTATTTTGAACCAAATGAGGGTCCTTTATATCTGTAAATACATCAGTGTGTGTTTTCTGAGAGCAAGGACGCTTTCTCACATCTAAGCACAATATGGATACCAATGTCCAGAAGTTAGGATTAATACAGTACTTTTTTCCTAATCTGTAGGGCTTATTCATATGTTAGCAGTTTTTCCAATAAAGTATTTTATTGCAGAGGAAAAAGATTTTTCCATAGTATCATCCAGGATCACATACTGCATTTAGCTATCATCTCTGGTTTCCTTTAATCTGGAGTAATTCTTCAGTTGTCACGACCATAATATTTTTGAAAAGTATAGGCTATAATTTATGACTTTTTTTTTTTTAAAGATTTTATTTATTTATTTGACAGAGAGAGACGCAGCGAGAGAGGGAACACAAGCAGGGGGAGAGGGAGAGGGAGAAGCAGGCTTCCTGCTGAGCAGGGAGCCCGATGCGGGGCTCGATCCCAGGACCCTGGGACCATGACCTGAGCCGAAGGCAGACGCTTAATGACTGAGCCACCCAGCCGCCCCAATTTATGACATTTTTAACAAATGCTTTCAGTTGTGTTATATTCAAAGTCGCTGACTTTGTGCCTTGAGTATAAAATATAAAAGTATAGGCAGATATTTTAAATAGATATTGGAGTAGGAATAAGTTCCTAGTATATTTTTATCTGTTTTATGTAATTGAAGTTTAGGGAAAGAGCCTATTGACAAACGCATAGAATTATCACATATGAAGTCTGACAAAGTGGTATCTATCCATACACACGCACGGTTACTCACACACTCTCTCTGAAGAAGACAAGGCTTCAGGAAGGAGGTGATTAAACGTAGAAGATATACAGAAGGACTGTTCTGTCCTCGGGGATCTGTGCAGTTTGATAGTGGGTTATGTGGAGAGAGAGGAGGAGGTATCTCCTTGGAGCAGTTCAGAAAGTTACTCTGTGGCAGGTGAATGGTGTCTTTGGAAAGGTTTGTGGCAGATATCTTCAATGTGATAAATATTATTTGAAACCCCACAGAAAATATTTTGGTGAGACTCTAAGTAGTTAGAAGCAATTGAAATGATTAGGTTGACTGGAAAACTGTTAAGCTGTCCTGATTGAGTTGATGTTTCTAGGGAGGAATTAGACATTTTCATACTCTTACAACTCATTTCTCACTACACATGTTTTTTATCCAGAAGGGAGTGTTTTAAATATAAATGTCATTGGTTGTCTAATTGGAACAAGGTTTTTCAAACATTGTTTTTCCCCCTCTGGTCTTTGTTGAGAGTTGTCGTATTCTCTGGTATCATCCCCTCACCCTTCTCATAACCAAGATCCTTGTTTTCATTTATTGTATTGAGCTGTAATGTGTATTTTGTTTATCAAAAATATTGTTTAATGTTTAAAAGGATAATCAAGGTGTTTAATTGGTTAAAACATGAAATGTGTCTCAGATTTCCTAAAATTTTAACTTTTTAGAAATCTATATGCATGCAATTTCTTTTTTCATTTAAGAGTCACTGAATATGATCTCATTTATTTAGTCCAAAAATTTTTGTTTTTAGAGAGTGATAGTAATGATGTTACTTTAAGAGAACTTTCTGTTTTCTTTTTGGTGTGTGTATGTGTATTTTAGTAGTTCCAGTGGCAACATAAGCAGCAGAAAGGATGAGACAAATGCTCGAGATACTTATGTTTCATCTTTTCCTCGGGCACCAAGCACTTCTGATTCTGTACGGTTAAAGTGTAGGGAGATGCTTGCTGCAGCTCTCCGAACGGGAGGTAAGTTTAGTGTACCCTGTTTCATTGCCCAGTCCTTTGTTCCTCACCACCACCGCCGCCATGTCCACCTCCATGATTCTGTTTCACCAGCGGCATCCCGGTGATAACTGCTTGCACTGCTTAGTTCAGGAAGACGTTGTGGCAAATAGGGGTTACTGATGGCAGAGAGCGCTAGGCATGCTGGGGCCTCTGCTTACTACTATATAGTTCCAAGAAGGAGATTCCTTCTAATATATGGATGTTTCCCTTGATTCAGAGTAACTTAAAGGCTTTTCACAAATCTTTTTTTCCCCCACTTTAATCCAAGTTGACCCTTGGATAATGAGTTTAAACTGCTTGGGTTTACTTATAATGTAGATTTTTTTTCAACAAAAACTACAATAATGTAAATCTGTTTTCTCTTATGATTTTCTTAATAACATTTTCTTTTCTTTAGCTTACTCTAAGAATACAATGTATAGTATATATAACATATAAAAATGTATTGTTTATGTTATTGGTAAGGCTTTTGGTCAACAGTAGGCTATTACTAGTTCAAGTTTTTGGGGAGTCAAGGTTAAATGTGGATTTTTGACTGCACAGGCAGTTGGCATCCCTAACCCCTGTGTCGTTTAAGGGTCAACTGTAATTACTCTGCTCCCCAGATTGAGCATTAATGGTAATGTATTTGGGTCCTGTTGTTAAATGTTAGTATGACAAATAGTATTTGTTTTATATTCATAATTCCATTTCTTTTTTTAAGTGGAAAAGAGATCTTGATTTATATATATATATGGGAAACTTAATTTGAAGTTATTCATTCTTAAAGTATCATATACAGGAATATTTATATCTTAAACAAATTCATTCCTTTTCTATTATACTGAACCATAGTTAGTATGACCTATTTTTCTCTTTACTCTGCCCTTTCTATTTTGATTCCCTTACTGTTTCTTTATATATTTTCTCTTTTTCTTCCTAGTTTCTTTTTATTTTCTTCTATCCGTTTGAATATTTGCATAGGAATCTTGTGAGTGTGTCCGTGTATGTGATTGGCAGATGAAATGAATGGTTTCTTTGCATTGAAGCCTGAGTCACAGGAGACAAGACAGTTCTTTCTATAACTTTCTCTACTCTCTGCTGGAGCAACCAGAATTTATGGAGTTGTGAAATGAGGAATTGCCTGCTAGATCAATTACTTCCCCACTCCTGAGGGATAAGGAGTCATCAATGCAGGACCACTGTGGACATTAGGTGAATCCAGAGGAGAAGTCTAGTGGGTAGGAAAGAGAACAGATTCTAATGAAACTAAATAAAAAGGACTCTTTATTAGGGCAGTGGGGTTGAAATAAAAATGCAGTTTAATTTACTCTGTACTGAAATTTTTTTCAATATGTCATAATCACTTATTTTTGACAATTCTTTGTGCCTGTGTTTAGATGACTACGTCGCTATTGGAGCTGATGAGGAAGAATTAGGATCTCAAATTGAGGAAGATATCCTTTGTGTGTATATTCATGATTGTTTAAATAATCTGCTAGATTAACTATTTTTCTTCTTCCTGTATAGAATTTAGAGTTTCATTTTTCAGTTTCTATCTTCATTGTATTATTTTGCAAGAAAAGGATAGGGCCATCCATATCATTTTGTTCTTGTTTTCTTGTTATTCAAAAGTAAAACATATGTGTTGATAGTATTTTTATTTTTTTGCCTTGCAAATTGAGAATGTCGCATCTCAATTGAACTTGTGCAAAAGAACATGGAAGACACACACACTATACGTGTGAAGTAGGGTTTCACGTTTGGGGGAATCTCAGCAAAGCCTGAGAGTTCCCCTGAATTCATTACCCAGGAGGGAAGTGTGTTTGTCCTGGGCACCATGGAAGGGGCTTTGGGAGAGGTGTCGTGCACAATTGGGTGACCATGTGACCATGGAACTCTCCTAGTTTTGGAAATGGCCTTGTTGGAAAGAAAGTGTGCTGCTCTTCAGGCTTGCCTGTTCTGTTGAGAAAAAAAACTGCTAAACTAGCTTCTTGCTGAGCTGGGGGAGGAAATGAACCTTTGGGCCACCACGAATGATTTCTTCCCAGAGGGCACCCAAAGGAACTGTGTAGTCATCAAGCCTTTTAGGATCCTTTGTAGAATTCAGATTTGGGCAAGTGAAAGTTTATATAAATGCAGGCTTTTCACAAGTTTTCTCACTCAGATGGAGAACCTAAGTTACTTTTTGAAACATCTTTAATTTGTGTGCTACTGGCATTAAACATTAAGAAGAAAGCATTGCTCATTCATAGTATAAAAGTTGGGTTACTGTTACTTGCCAGTTACAGATCAAGAAATGAGGTAGACACACTGCCTTGTTAGCTTAATCTAAATTGGAGACCATTTTGGAGAACTGCTTAGAAACTTCAGGAATTCTTATTTTGGTGAAATGGGAAAAAAAATACCCTTATAGTTTAACTTTTTTTCCTTAATGGCCTAGTACCTATATATCAAGAAATAAGGAATACAGACATGAAGTACAAAAATAGAGTACGAAGTAGAATATCAAATCTTAAAGATACTAAGAATCCAAATTTAAGGAAAAATGTACTGTGTGGAAATATTCCTCCTGACTTATTCGCTAGAATGACAGCGGAGGTGAGTATATGTGAATATTATGTTTCCATGATGTGATTACATGATGTCAAGTCAAAAGTCTTTGTAAATCATGAAGTACTGTATAAGTACTACATTTATAATTAATCATTATTAGCTCTTCTGATATATGTATAATGTACTAGACAAATACCTAAGATGATTGAATCTGTTGGTGTCAATACTTTGTCTCTTCCACAACTATACCATGATCTTTGGTTGATTGCCTTAAATCATTGTCTAAAAATGAAACTTTTTACTTATTTTGGATTCATGTGGAATTGAAGGTTTGAATATATAATCGCAAACAGACTTTGTAACCTCCAAGTTCTTTTCATGGTTAAACCCCATAAAATTAGTCACATGTTACTGACTATTCCTTAAATTTTAGGGACTGATGGAGAAAATGAAATTCAGAGCTTGCTATTTATAGACACAGCTGTTCAGTCTGCAGTCTCATTATTTTATTACACATCCAAGAGTGAATTTGTCTTTCTATATATAGCTAAAATAAAAATTATTATATTTTTAACATTCACTTTTTTAAACCTCATTAAAATAACCTAAAACTTTAAATTAGAGACCATAGTGTAATGAACTCCTATATATCTATCACCCAAGCTTCAGGTAGTTTCAAGAATTTGTCACCCTTGGGGCTCCTGGGTGGCTCAGTCCATTAAGCGTCTGCCTTTAGCTCAGGTCATGATCCCAGGGTCCTGGGATTGAGCCCCACATTGGGCTCCCTGCTCTGTGGGGAGTCTGCTTCTCTCTCCCTTTACCCCCCTCCCCAACTCATGCTCTCTCTCTCTCTCCAAATAAATAAAATCTTCAAAAAAAAAAAAATTGTGACCCTTTTCAGTTTATTCCTTTTTTTCTTTTTCCTTCTGTTCCCCTGAATTGTTTTCAAACAAATTCCAGACATTATATCTTTTTACCTTTTTTTATAAGCTATCATCTTTTTAAAAAGATTTTATTTATTTATTTGACAGAGAGAGCAAGAGAGTGCAAGCAGGGGGAGTGGCAGGCAGAGGGAGAGGGAGAAGCAGACTCCTTGCTGAGCAGGGAGCCTGATGCAGGGCTCGATCCCAGGACCCTGGGATCATGACCTGAGCCGAAGGCAGACACTTAATCATCTGAGCCACCCAGGCATCCTTCTTTTTACCTTTATAAACCTAAGAGCGATACCTTTAAAAATTTGATAATTTTAAAAAATATATAATTTTCTTACATAACTACGTTGTCATCACTACATCCAACAAAGCTAAAAGCAATTCCTAATTTATATATTCATATTTTCCTGATTGTACATTTCTTTGTATCAGGGTCCAAGTCTGCACATTACCTTTATTTAGGTCTCTAAAGATTTTGTATATATATGTTTAAATCCCTTGCAGTCTCTTTCCTGCCCCTGACCCCTTTTCTATTCATGACACTGACCTGTTGAAGAAACCAATTTATTTCTTCTGTATCCCACAGTATGAATTGTCTCTCTCTTCCTCATGATGTTAATTTAGCTTTTCTGTCCCCTCTATTGTCTGTGAACTGGAAGCTAGTTCTATAGGCTCGATTACATACAAATTCAACTGTGTTTCCCCACATAAATACTTGTAATTGGTGCTTTTTACTTCGTATTGCATCAGGAGACACATAATGTCTTGTTTCTTTACTGTTAGCATGCTGAGATTGATCAGTGGGTTTGGGTATTAACAGTCTGATTCCTCCATTGTAAAGTTCTCCTTTGACCTTTCATCTAATGTATTCATCCACTGATTTCCTTACCTGAATTGGTTAAATTATTAGGAGTTGCAAAATAGTGATTTCTAAAGTTCTGTCATTCCTTTCACATTTATTAGCTAGATTCTTTGATAAAGAAGCATTTTCCTTTGTAAACTCAGGCACTTGGTGACCCCTTTGGTTTGGATAGGAAAGGCAGGTAAATAATGTTGTCTGTTGTCTGAAACTCTTTCCCTTTAGTTAACAGCAGAATGAGGAGTTGGTGCCCTAGTAAATGCCAGGGGGGACTTTGTTGCTGTTTTTTGCATGCTTGTGCTCTCCTTTTTCAGAATCATGGACTTGTGACATTTTTTTTTTTAAGATTTTATTTATTTATTTGACAGAGAGAGACACAGTGAGAGAGGGAACACAAGCAGGGGGAGTGGGAGAGGGAGAAGCAGGCTTCCCACCGAGCAGGGAGCCCGATGTGGGGCTGGATCCCAAGACGCTGGGATCATGACCTCAGCCGAAGGCAGATGACGCTTAATGACTGAGCCACCCAGGTGCCCCAGGACTTGTGACATTTTCATCTATCCAGTGGGGATTGGTTCTTCACAGTAATTTATTTTGATAGCTGAAGAAATTGTCCTATCTTTGGCTAATGGGAGCTCCTTCATGTTAGCCCCTCGTCCTTATGACTCAACCAACAGAAAAGTCTTTGGTAGCTTCCATGCTTCTCTGGCACAAGAGGATGACCTTGGCTTATCCTGTGCATTTCTTTTTTTTTTCTTTTAGAGTGTGAGCCGGGGGGCGGGGGTGGGCACAGGGAGAAGGAGAGAGAGAATCCCAAGCTGATTCCTCATTGAGCAGAGTTAATGTGGGGTTGGATTTCACAACCCTGAGATCATGACCTGAGCCAAAACCAAGAGTTGGATGCTCAACTGACTGAGCCACCCAGGCACCCCAAATCCTCTGCATTTCTTGATTCAAAATGGGAACCAGATATTCCTCCAAAGATCCCTGGTTCTTTTTTGGGGAGGGCAATGGTACAGACAACAATCTGGATACTAGAGGTGCTCATTGCTACGGTATTATTACATTGTTTATAAACCTTTAAGAGGTAATTAAATCTAATTTTCACATAGAAACTTACAAGTATTTGATGAAATTTTAAAAGAAAGCAAACTCTGAGTTCTTTGAGGAAAAATTTTTCATTTTTAAAACTTCAGAAGTTGGTTTATTGAGCTAATAGAACATAAAAAAAATTCAGGATATATATAGAAAATGCCTATAACTGAGTGTTATTGCCACCTCCCTGACAGGAAATGGCTAGTGATGAACTCAAAGAGATGCGGAAAAACTTGACCAAAGAAGCCATCAGAGAGCATCAGATGGCCAAGACAGGTGGAACCCAGACTGACTTATTCACATGTGGCAAATGTAAAAAGAAGAATTGTACTTACACACAGGTTGGTGATTATTTATAGATTCTTATTTCCACGTAAGGATGCTTGAGGGTATTGTGCTAAGTCACGTAAGTCAGAGAAAGACAAATACCATATGATCTCACTTATATGTAGAATCTAAAAAGAAAAAAAATGACTCAGATACAGAGCACAAACCTGGTCGTTGTTGTGGTTGTTGGAGAAGAGGGGTGGGGGGATGCATGAAATAAATGAAGGGGATTAAGAGGTACAAACTTGCCAGTTATAAGTCACAAGGATGTAATATACAACATAGAAAATATAGTCAGTAATGTAGTAACTTTGTATAGTGACAGAGGGTAACTAAACCTATAAAGATAATCATTTTGTAATATATAAAAATCCCAAATCACCATGTTGTACACCTGAAACTAATATATTGTATGTCAATTATAATCCAGTTAAAACTAACTACATAAATAGAATGCTTGCAACTCCTGTTTCAAAACCAGTAGTAAAGGTAATTACCAGTACTTTGATAATGCTTTCTTAATACTAACACATTCCAGTTAATTGAAAATAAGTTGATATATTTATACTTTCATGGAAGTTGTTACTGTGAAAGCTATATCAATTAAATAAAATTTATAAAAATCATTGTAGGATTTAATGAAATGGCCATATTCTAAGAGTTGAGCAGTTGATTTTTGGTTAGTATATAAACAGGTTATAATTCTTTTTATTTGGCAGGATCATATAATTTAAGGAAAGTTCTTTACTCTTCCTCACTTGGGTGTAGGTACTTTTTGCTTAATTGCTTTCCAGATACTGATTTTCTTTTCTGCAGCATATTGATGACTTTTCACATATGATGTGACTAACCTTCCTTTTTGTTCTTGGACAAAAAGAAAGCTGAAAAGAGCCACATGTGTGAAAATGGTTTATCACTGTCATTAATTTCACTTGTCAAGTAGGTATTTTTGTGTTGTGTCTGTAATCTACTAAACTCAAAATTTTCTCCTTAAAGAACAACTTACAGTTAATGTTTTAGAGTAATGGATTTAGGGAATTGAATTTTCTGATTGACAGAAAATTAGGCAGTTAAGAAAGTAGTATTATTAAATTCTATGTAAGTTGTAGAAAGGAACCTTTTTTTTTCTTTAAGTTTTAGAAGGTGTCATTCTCAAGGTTAAAAATTGAAAAGGTACAAAAGATTGTGAGTGGAAAAATCCCCTCCCACTTTTGCCTGCAGCAACTTGGTCCCATCTCCTTGGAGGTAAACGAGGTTATATGTTGTGTGGCTTTCTACGTGTTTTATGCATATACATGCAAATATGAATATATTTTTGTTTTCCCCTTTTTTACATTTGTTTTTTATATTTCTTAGTAATCTCTACACCCAACATGGGGTTCAAACTTACAACCCTGATATCAAGAATTGCATGCTCTTCTGACAGATCCAGCCAGGTGCCCCTGTTTCCCCATTTTCTAAACACATGTGGTAGCACATTATATAAACTTCTGCCTCCTTTAGTTTTTAAAGGTACATAACACTTCCATTTTCAGATATGCTCTATTTAACCAATCCAAAGTCCTCTATCTTTTTGAAGTCTTTCATTTAATCATAGTTATAGATCTGATATTTCAGTATTTTGTTTTGTGGAACTATTACTACCGAGAGTCACTAAAATATATTAACATATGAAAGTGGCTTCAGAAATTTCTGAGTTTGGATTGCTCTCTTTTAATTAGAAGAGTCTCAGCAATAAAAATTCTGTCCTGAAAATGCTGCATAGTAGGAAGTATTAAGTATAAATAGAAAGGTATTTAAAACCAAAGCGTCTTTATTTTATTTTTTTAAAGATTTTTATTTATTTATTGAGAGAGAGAATGATAGAGCATGGGGGGGAGGGTCTGAGGGAGAAGCAGACTCCCTGCTGAGCAGGGAGCCTGATGCAGGACTTGATCCTGGACTCTAGGATCATGACCTGCGCCGAAGGCAGGCGCTTAACCAACTGAGCCACCCAGGCGCCTGCCAAAGCTTCTTTAAAACATTTGAAGTCAGGGTGCCTGGGTGGCTCGGTTGAGTGTCCGACTCTTGATTTTGGCTCCCGTCATGATCTCAGGGTCCTGGGATCAAGCCCCATGTGTCGGGCTCGCGCTGTGTGGAGTCTAGTTGAGGTTCTCTCTCCCTCTCCCTCTACCCCTCTCCCCTTGTGTGCGTGCGCACTTTCTAAATAAATAAATGAAAAAAAAGTATGAAGAAGTGATATATTTACATAATCAGCTACAATAAAAAACGTTTCTTTTAATAGAAAGAACCTAGTCTAAAGATGAAGTCAGTATGATTTCCTTAGAATCAATTCTGTCAATAGAAAATTTCCAAAGTTGGCAAAATAACAGATTATAAAAGACTGAAGTTTGACTCTTGGTTAACATGTACCAGGAGATCAACATTTTTCCCAGAGGGCAAAAGTTCCTCCTATCTATGTATTTTTAGGGCCCTAGTTAGCAAGTTTCTAGGTATAAATACATGAGAATATTTCAGAAGGATTTTTCAAACCATTTTTATCTGAAGGCCTTAAATAAGCAGAATGCTATTCTTTTGAGAATGCCTCTTCTTTTTCTCCCTTTGGGCTTTTGAGTTAAAAATCATGTTGATAGTTGACAAGTATTGTGTGCTTCTCATCTTTGAGGCAGTAATATACTGGATTTCATCATCCCACACTAAATTTAAATAGACCTTATTCAGAATGCAATATTGTTGGTATTCAGGTTCTTGCCTTCACCCATCTTCCTCATCTCCCCCATAACTTAAACCTAAAAATAACATAACTTTATTTTTTTTTAGAACTTTAGAAGTCTCTTATCTTATGTTGATAAAGTTTAAAAAAATCGTATTAGCTTATTTTTTTCTGAGTTCTCTTTTAAAATTTTTAGTTGTAGCAAAATACACATAACCTAAAATTTACCACCTTAACCATGTTTAAGTATACAATTGAGTAGTAGTACATACTTAATATTGTGGCAATCTCCAGTATTCTTTTTCTCGTGCAAGACTGAAACTCTATACCCATTAGATAGTAACTGTATATTTCTCTAGCTCCTGGCAACCACCAGTCTCTGAATTTGACTACTCTAGGTAGTCAAAGGGATAAATGGTACCACATAACAGTATTTGTCCTTTTTTTGTCCCTGGCTTATTTCTGATACCTGATCTATTCTAAGTTAGTAATTAGAAACACAAAGAAATGTGTACAGATCAGCATCACTAATCATCAGGGAAATACAAATTAAAACCATGTAATGTTCATAAATGATCATCTGTATTATAGCATATATCAGAATTTCCTTCCTTTTTTTTTTTTTAAGATTTTGTTTATTTATTTAAGTGACAGAGACCACGAGAGAGGGAACACAAGCAGGGGGTAGTGGGAGAGGGAGAAGCAGGCTTCCCACCGAGCAGGGAGCCCGATGTGGGGCTCGATCCCAGGGCCCTGAAATCATGACCTGAGCCGAAGGTAGTTGCTTAACCAACTGAGCCACCCAGGTGCCCCCAGAATTGCCTTCCTTTTTAAGGCTGAATAATCGCTATATATATATACCACATTTTGTTTATCCATTCATCTGTTGATGGACACTGGGTTGCTTCCACCTTTTGGGCTATTATGAATAATGCTGCTATGAACTTCTCTGTACAAATACCTCTTTGAGACGCTGCTTTCCGTTCTTTTGGGTATTTTCTCAGGAGTGGCATTTCTGGGTTGAATGAGTTTTTTTTTTAAATTTTTTATTTTTAAAGAGAGGGATGGTGGGGAGAGGCAGAGGGAAGAGGAGAGAGAGAGAATCTTAAGCAGTCTCCACGCCCAGATCCCATAATCCAAGCCAAAACTGAGTCAGATGCTTAACCAACTGAGCCACCGAGGCGCCCTTACATTAGCTGTTTTAAGGCAATGTAAAGTACCTATTTATAGAAAAATTGGAAAATACAGAAAAATATGAACAAAAAATTTAAAATCACCCATTAATCTGCATTTAGAAAGAACAGTGGTCAATATTTTGGTGCCTGCAGTATTTTATGAAGTTTTTCTAGTTTAGTTGTAGCTAAATACTGTAAACCATTTTTTTAAAGATTTTATTTATTAGAGAGAGAGAGCATGAGCAGTGGGGTGAGGCAGAGTGAGAGGGAGAAGCAGACTCCCCGCTGAGCAGGGAGCCCGGTGTGGGACTCGATCCCAAGACCCTGAGATCATGACCTGAGCTGAAGGCAGACGCCTAACTGACTGAGCCACCCAGGCACCCCTGTAAACCATTTCATGTACAGTTGACTCTTGAACAACATGGGTTTGAACTGCATGAGTCCACTTAACACACAAATTTTTTTCAACAAATACATGTCCAGTACTGTAAATGTATTTTCCTTATGATTTTATTAATCATGTTTTCTTTTCTGTAGCTTGCTTTAAGAATTCAGTATATGGTATAACATACAAAATATGTATTAATCGACAGTTTGTGTTGTTGGTAAGGCTTGTAGTTAACAGTAGACTATTAACAGTTGCGTTTTGGGCGAGTTAGATGTGGATATTCAATTGCATGAGGAGTTGGTGCTCTTAACCTCCACATTGTTTCAAGGCAAAACTGTACTTCTTTTCACTTAGCTACTATAATGTAAGTATTTTCCTTTAATTATTAAAAAAAAAATCCCAAAACCTTTGTAAACATCTTAATAGCTGTATAATATTCCATCAGATGGGTATGCTCTTACTTCATTATTTCCCTGTTGGATATTTAAGTTGTTTCCAGTGTTTGCACTATTATAAAATTACACTTCAAACATCCCTGTACACAGATCTCCCACGCCCAACTTTATGAGGAATAATTGACATATAAGTGAATGTTTTTAAAGTGTACAATGAGATGATTTGATATACATATACATTGTGGAATGATTACCAAGATCAAGATAATTAACATATCCATTATCTCACATAGTTAACTCTTTTTTTTTT